CGCCCGCCCGCCCGCCTGCCTGCCCACCTTGGGTGCTGCACTGGCTCCTTCTCGCCCTCTGACAGGCTTCCCTCGCCTCTTAAATTTGCTTCCCCCGGAGAGCTCAGCTCCGAGCTGGAGCCCTCCATTTCCTCCTGTAGAAAGCAAAGCCCGGCGTGCCCTGCAAACCGGGCTCCCAGGCTCCCCCGGGCCGGGCAGGGGGTGCGGGGCCTGGGAAGGCAGGCGGAGGACCAAGCAGCTCTTGGAAAGTTCGTGCTTGATGTACGTGCGGTTCCGTTTCTCGACCTATGCGAGATGGACGGAGCGGGCTGGGCAGCTGCGTTTCATTTCCATGCTGCCCGGCTTCCCCTACCTGCCCCCGCCCTCCATTACCCCAGCGCCCCCCTTCAACCACCAGGCAGAGGCAGCACCGCTGCGTTTTTTCCTCCCCATCTCTTGACACAGGGCACAGCATCACCATCAGTACTGTGATTACTACTATGATTATTATTACTATTACTATTGTGATGGTGGCGGTGATGCTGGCAGCCGCGCTCAGCCCCGGACTGGGGAAGGAATCCTGGCGACGCTAAAAAAGAGCAGCCCAGCGCAAAAGCTGACAAGGACCCCGGTCTCCTGAGCTCATTGGCTGCCGGCTCCTCGGCGTCGGCCTCCGCCGCGCAGGCCACCAATGGGGGCTCGCGTTGCACGGCGAAAAAAACCCAGGGTTTATAATAAAGCGAGGGGGGCGCGCGCCGGCAATGGCCGTGACGTCACGGGAGGGAGTCGCTGCGCCCGAGAGGAGCCGGGCTGCGCGGGGAAGCGCGCGGCAGTGGCCGGAGTCCGCCCCGCTTCGCGTCTCCTCCTCCCGCCGCCGCCGCCGCCGCCTGCCCCGCGCTCAACTTTCCAAGAAAGTTCAATAAGTCCTTGGCGGAGGCGAGAGGCGGGCGGCGGAGCCCGCAGCAGCTGCAGCCCCTGCCCCGTGCCCCTGCTCCCGCCCGGTGCGATGCCGTGTCCCGGGGCAGCCCGGCCGCCCCGTAGCTCCCCGTGAGCAGCCCAGCCGCAGCACGTGTGATCCGCGCCTCGCGCTGCCGCCCAGTCCCCGCGCCCCGGCTCTCCCCGCGCTGCCGGGCTTTTTTCGGGGGAGGGGGGGTCGCTTCTTTTCTGCCCCCGCCGCAGGTGCCAGCCCCGGCCCCCTCCCCCTTCCTTTCTTGTTGTAAAGGCACTGACACCCTCGTTGCGCTTTTATTTATCGATCCGCGTTGGCCGGGGCTGCTCTTCGGCCGCGCAGGGAGCCCGGCTGGAGGACCGGGATGACGGCGCCGCTCTGAATGGCCGCGATGGAAGGATCTAGCGGGTCCAGCTTTGGGATAGACACGATTTTGTCTAATGCCAGCTCGGGCAGCCCCGGCGTGATGAACGGAGACTTCCGCCAGCACAGCGAGGCCAGGACGGCGGATTTTCGAGCCCAAGCCACCCCGTCCCCCTGCTCGGAGATAGACACGGTGGGGACGGCGCCTTCCTCGCCCATCTCGGTCACCATGGAGCACCCCGAGCCGCATCTGGTCCCAGAGAGCATCCCGCAGCATCACCACCTCCACCACATTAACTTAG